GAAGAAGAAAAATCTGGCATTGTAAACACTGTGTAGGAGAGCGCCAAGTTGAGACCCTTCTTTGAAAAACGTCTTCCAAGTTGGGCGCTGCTGCTCTTCCTGATTCTCCTCTGTCTGTATATCTGTCTGTCTGTCTGTTCTTTAGTTTGTTTCTCCTCTTCGTGTTTTTCTACCATTATCATTGCCCCCCCAGCTCTCTCTCTCTCTCTCTCTCTCTCTCTCTCTCTCTCTCTCTCTCTCTCTCTCTCTCTCTCTCTCTCTCTACATTTGCTTTTGTAACTGAATATAGTGTTTCTGTGTTTACCTAATTTTGCCCCACATGATTGTAATGGTGTGGATTGAACTTCAGATCTTTGATCTCTCCCCCTTAACTTTTTGGGCTCTGCCATGGGTAGCCTACATACAAAGCTGTGTATGGAGTCTGCTAATTCACTTTTTGAGCCCTTCCATATGTTCAGTATTCTCACAGAGAAAACAGTTCTTGATAATAAGATAATGGCTTCTTTGGAAATCAGTTCCAAGGCAACGACGTAATTGATTACGCAATTTTGCCAATTCTCAGTGATGTAATTGTATCGATGATGTAATTTTGTTAATGGCTTCCTCAGTGACGTACTTATGACAATGATATAATTAATGAAGTAGAATCCACCATATCCACAGATATGGTGGATTTGCCGACGATGTAAACCGCTCTCAATCCCCCAGGAAGAGTGAAGTAGAATAGTGCAAACAGGAAATGGGAGATCCATTGTTTAGTTTGACACATATCTTAGTGATAAACGTGTGTATGGGGCAAGTAACAAATGCAGTGAAGTAAGAAATGTTATTACAGCTCGAATACGACTTGGCTACAAGTATCTTCCGGCATTTCATCTTATACACAGGGATCTAAATGAAGTAAAGTGGAACGTGTGTGGACGAAGACAGGGACACGTTGGAGCGTTACATCTTAAAGTGTACAAAAAATAAATGAGTTGGAGATAAATCTATCAAACACATGCTGCATGAAATGGCCAACTCTCTTATTACAAATGATAAATATCTGAAATCATTGCATTGTATCCATATTTTTAAAGATCTTTTGTGCCGTCTAATAATCTTTTTTTGCGTTACCGCTCACAGGATGAGTATGGGGTGCACAATAAACTAGTCTAAAGTGGCAAGAGTAAAATGCCGTCTCTCACCCAAGAACAGTGACGTAACTCTCACACTCACCCAAGAACAGTGACGTAACTCTCTCACTCAGCCAAGAACAGTGACGTAGGCCTCTCACCCTATAAACATCAGCGACATATTGCTACATAATTTAAGGGAGCCGGTCGGCCGAGCGGACAGCACGCTGGACTTGTGATCCTGTGGTCCTGGGTTCGATCCCAGGCGCCGGCGAGAAACAATGGGCAGAGTTTCTTTCACCCTATGTCCCTGTTACCTAGCAGTAAAATAGGTACCTGGGTGTTAGTCAGCTGTCACGGGCTGCTTCCTGGAGGTGGAGGGCTGGTCGAGGACCGGGCCGCGGGGACACTAAAACCCCGAAATCATCTCAAGATAACCTCAAGATAATAAGAACAACTAAAAAATATAACTCCGACGCGCTCAGAGTCTCTACACTACGGACCTATGTACTAAATGTTGATCTAATGAAGAACGTCAGTCACCCCTATAGACCCAAGGGGTGCAAGGGAGCTATGGATAATTTTTGCTTCAGGGAGGGAGGGTTTATTTGGCGAAGGAAGTACATTAGACCTCCCCTCTCTCTCTATCTCTCACCTTCTCTGTCTCTGTTTCTCTATTTCATTCTCTCTCACTCATTCACTCACCTTTCTAAGCCTCACTCCCTCCCTCCTACCTCCCTACCTCCCTCCCTCCCTCTCTGGTTCGGAATGGATAGATTTATTTGATAACTCCGGTGCCTGTCCTTCTGCCTGACTCATTTACATACTGAATAAACTTTAAATGATTTCACGCTTTCAGGAAAGAATGACGGTCTGTTCTTGAAGCCAATTCGTTTATCTGAAATCAAAAGACAGAGTGTGCTTATGAGAGAGAGAGAGAGAGAGAGAGAGAGAGAGAGAGAGAGAGAGAGAGAGAGAGAGAGAGAGAGAGAGAGAGAGAGAGAGAGAGAGAGAGAGAGAGAGAGAGAGAGAGAGAGAGAGAGAGAGAGAGGAGAGAGAGAGAGAGAGAGAGAGAGAGAGAGGAGAGAGAGAGAGAGAGAAGAGAGAGAGAGAGAGAGAAAGAAAGAGAGAGAGACAGAGAGAGAGAGAGAGAGAGAGAGAGAGAGAGAGAGAGAGAGAGAGAGAGAGAGAGAGAGAGAGAGAGAGAGAGAGAGAGAGAGAGAGAGTTGAGTGGATAATAATGTAGGAAATATGAAGATGACAAGATAGATAAACGGCATTAACTGAGATAAAGATGAGGTATATATGATAAATAAATAAGGTATATAGGAAGATATTGTAAATATATTCAGCAGGTGAGAAAATATGTTAAATGTATGCGCTATATAAGTAAATATGGTAAATAAATACGGCACATATACAAATCTAAGAGATACATGGATGCAGAGTAGGTAGACACATCCAATAATTTTGATAGACAGGAATATATGGTCACCAGATACAGCATATGCAGATTGTAGATAAACAGTGATGAAAAAAAGTGATAGAACAGTTATATAACTGTAAAAAAGGATGCTTTTTAATATTACAAAATAATATTTAACCTTGAAACTGTCGTTTTCACTTGTTACACAAAATTACTTCGGAATAAAAGTGATAAATTAACAAATTATAATTATTTGCTTACATAGCTATTATATCATGAAAATAATATTTTTTTTAGGTTTTTGTATTAAATTAAATAATTGTATTAATTCATTTACTTGTTGTATTCCCTTTCTTAAATGAAATGTAGTTTGAATATAATTTAGTTGCATGTCTATATATGGTACTTAATATGGAGAACGGTGATAACAAGAACATAGATTATATGATTGAACAGAGTATTAACGATAGGCAAAATACAACAGAAAAAATGATAGCCAAAATAATATTATAAAACCATAAGCATAATATGAAAACGTTTAGAAAATAACAGTATTATTTATTGGTTTGTTTTTTAAGCCTGCAGAGGTTTTAATTGATTTATTGCTATATCGATATTATTAGCAGTATTACAAATCCAACTGTGTCTCCTGCCAGCCCCTTAAAAGTTACCACTATCAGCTCCAACAGTGACCACTAACACGCTTAAATAGTGACCACTACATCCCCCCAAAGAGTGACCATTATCACCTGAAGTACCACCCCAAACAATGACCCCTACTACCCCAAACAATGACCCCTACTACCCGAAACAATGACCCCAACTACCCCAAACAATGACCCCTACTACCCCAAACTATGACCCCTACCACCCCAAACAATGACCCCTACCACCCCAAACAGTGACTAATACCAACCGAAATAGCGACCACTACCAAGGAAACCTCCTCTTCCCAAACAATAACCACTACCATCCCCCAAACAATAACCACTACCATCCCCCAAACAATAACCACTACCATCCCCCCAAACAGTGACCACAACCATCTCCAACAGTTTCCATTACTACATTGTCAAAAAACATCTGTCGTAAGAGATCTTGAGGGAGAATAAGATAACGAATCCAAACATAAGAAAGCGGACAGGACTTCCTCTTTTCCCACCACTACCACCTCCTGCACCTATTTTACAGTTTGTCCATTGTTCTAACCTTCAATTTCCTCTTTATCCTCAATTCCCCTCCTTCAGTTATGCCTTCGGTTATATCCATTCCCGTTTACTCTGATCTTCAACCTCCTACTACTGTTCATTCTAGTTCCTGTTCTGTAGATTTCTCTGTTGTCTTTCACCTACTGGCATTTGTAAATTACTTCTGCTTTTACAACCAATTCTGTTGTTCGTTCTCGTTTACCTTAGGCACCTCCTCCCTTGTCTTACAGTCTTTATTATCCTTTGCTTTCCTCCTCCTCCTACATCTCTTAATGTCCATCGCTCTCCTCTTCCTCGTGTCCCCGCCCCGGCCGTCAAAAGGGAGGATGAAGGAGTCGGTGGCTGCCCCGTAAATCAGTGAGGCTGCAGACTCGGGGCGTCGCGAGATGAATAACAGACGGCGACACGTGATAACAGACGACCCTCATAGATTACCTCTGAAATACTCCTCCAAGCTTTTTTGTGTTTTTTTATCCCTTCCTCGCCCACGTGAAATATTTTCCCTGGACGTCGAGGCGCTCGGAGCAGGGTGGTGACATTTCATTTACGGTGTCGATCACGAGTGGCGTTGCGTTCTGTTGCGTGCCCTGTTCGAACGGCGAGTCGGAATAGGGTAGTCGATGGGCGAACGCTGTACGTGCATTGCCTTAGAAGGAGAAAATCGACGGAAGAACATCGTTTATTCAATGTTTTAGAACAAAAGAAGTCGATGGAAGAACCAGATCATTTCAAGCAAGTTCGACTACAGTCGAGCAGCTTTAGAAAGTTGACCAGACCACACACTAGAAGGTGAAGGGACGACGACGTTTCGGTCCGTCCTGGACCATTCTCAAGTCGAAGAATGTTTTAGAAACACGAGGAAATTATATAAACTGACCTTCGGCGGGATGTCGGGGTTCTATGGAACTATTTTAGAGTACATTTAGTTCTCGTGAGCTCGATGCCGTAGTGTTCGGGAATACTTTTCTTTTTCCCGAAATAAATTGAATATATTTGTACCCGAAATATATCTACCACCACCATCTGTCATTGCTATATCTACCACCACCATCTGTCATTGCTATATCTACCCCCCCCCCCCCCGCACTTCATCTACCATTACAATTTTAATCGTGTGTGCGAACATTTACATCGCCCTTCAAAAGCCAAAAGCACATGATATAGGAACAACATTTACCACATAACCTGAAACAATCCCATAACCAACACCCACCGACGATAAAGCTACCAATGCACCTAATTCTACCACAGATCCAAAACTTTTTGAAGAACCAACATTAACTGAACCTTTACCTGCCACAGAACGTAAGTCTACCACAGAATCTGTAGCTACCACAGAACCTAAATCTACCACAAAACATATATCTACGACAGAACCAAAGGCTGTCCTGTATCCCTATGTGGTAAATAATCATAAATCATCACCCTCACACCATCAACAGCCATGCACTATCATCACCCATACACCATCAACACAATAATGCTCATAATCCCATCCTGGAAATGACAAACTACAACTTTAAATTTCCTGTTGCAACCATCTACTAAGAACAGTGAACTCGTCAGGCATAACAAGAAGTCCGGCATTGCGACATTCTAGTCATCATTACTAAACTAGGAAGAACATGTTCCGGATTAAAACAGAGGGAACATCACAGTGCGACTTCAGCACTTCCACAAATCGTCAAGGTGATCTGAGTTAGAGTGCCAAGGAGGAGGTCAATGGGTGTGGCAGATGGTGGGTACGAAGAAAGACTTTGTGATATGGGTATTCATAAGAAGATAATTTTTAATAGAAATATATTTATATCTGCTTCAATACAAATTACAGAGCCATTCGAGGTGAATATTAGTAATGATTTGTTTAGTTTGGATCCATTTTTTAATGGTTCAATTAAAAAATGATCTTAGTAAGATGATTAATTGACAACCACCCCGATTGGGATATTCCTTGTCGCAACTCACATGTATTGGTTATCAGGCCGCCTGCAGTTTCCTCTTGTGCTTATGTTCATGATCTAATATTGAAAAAGACACACACACTTTTTCACTTCACACGTCACCTTCCTTTTTCCCGCCTATATATTTATTTTACTGCAAGGATTATAGTTTTGATGGTTAACACGTAAACACTAAAGTAATTTCCTTTCGTTGAAATTTCACACACACACACAAATGTTGACGGGTTGACTACCCCAAAGGACTTAATCAACAAGCAATGAGGTTGAGAGGTACTAGGATAAATGACTGTGAATCATGCAACGGAAATTGGTAATACTAAGGCAATCTATGAGGTTTTATTCGTTTCAAGAGATATTTACCTCAGGCAAGTAAATGAGCAGGTGTCCAAAGGTTGTACATTAACTGAGGAGAATAACAGGATTGAGTGAGAGCTTTTGGAATATATTTAATAGAGTTTAGGATAGTTTTGGGTAAAGCGTAGGAGGTGAGGGGAAGTTTGTGGCTGGTTCAAGGCGGTGATGAGGCATGGCATAACCAGAACCCAGCAAATAAAACCAAATCAATTAAAATAAATACGCAAATTTTTACAAAACAATGTCACACACATAAAAGATCGCAAATCAATCTTGTGCCACACTGCCAAACGTTATGAAATGCGTACACACAGAGCAGGAGTTTACAGAAGCATCACCTTGCAGATGCAGGAAGATATTCAGATATGCAGAATTATATATGGATACAGGTTCACGAAGGCGAAGACTCACATACATACAAACGTACATGAGTGTATTCATAAACACACAGAAATACACAATCCCTCTAAGTATAGATTATTTGTAAATTATATATATATATATATATATATATATATATATATATATATATATATATATATATATATATATATATATATATATATATATATATGTCGTACCTAGTAACCAGAACTCACTTTTTGGCCTACTATTCAAGGCCCGATTTGCCTAATAAGCCACGTTTTCCTGAATTAATATATTTTCTCTAATTTTTTTCTTATGAAATGATAAAGCTACCCATTTCATTATGTATGAGGTCAATTTTTTTTATTGGAGTTAAAATTAACGTAGATATATGACCGAACCTAACCAACCCTACCTAACCTAACCTAACCTATCTTTATAGGTTAGCTTAGGTTAGGTAGCCGAAAAAGTTAGGTTAGGTTAGGTTAGGTAGGTTAGGTAGTCGAAAACACATTAATTCATGAAAACTTGGCTTATTAGGCAAATCAGGCCTTGCATAGTAGGCTGAGAAGTGCGTTCTGGCTACTAGGTACGACATATATATATATATATATATATATATATATATATATATATATATATATATATATATATATATATATATATATATATATATATATATATATGGCGTGTACGTATGACTGCATACGTGGAAAAGCAATGTTTATTTTCCCACAAGATTGATGGAAGTCAGGTATATTTTGAGGTTTATGCGCTGAAAGCATGCTGAAGTATGCGTTCCAATGTTGTGGGGGAGCATATGCTCTATATTCTGTTCTAGATATATCGTAAAACTATGTTCAAAATTATGCTGAGGGGTGTATTTCGTCTGTATACATGATGGGAATGTTCTAGGTATGCTGTATGCGCATACTTGTGAATATACACACCGCGAAGGCTTAGTAGATAGTAACGAACATTGAAAACACAGTCAAGCCGCTTGAATCAAAGGACAAGATACGATCACGCATCATATCTCCCTTCCACCAGTTATCAAGGGTATGCTCCAACTATGCCGTGCTTGTGTGTGTGTGTGTGTGTGTGTGTGTGTGTGTGTGTGTGTGTGTGTGTGTGTGTGTGTGTGTGTGTGTGTGTGTGTGTGTGTGTGTGTGTGTGTGTGCGTGTGTGTGTGTGTGTGTGTGTGTGTGTGTGTGTCCATGTGTACAGAACGTGACGACCACGCAGATAACCACGTACACACTTAATACGTTCATGAGTTTGGTCCAAGGTCCGACCCAGCAAGGATCTCACTTTGGTCCACTGTTGTTTTGTATGCGTGGGATTCGCTCTGTTGCTGTCCAACCAGGAGCTGTGTGAGGCATGTCTGATGGTGGTGGTAGTGGTGGTAGTGGGGAGGTTATGATGGTGGTAGTGGTAAAGAGGTAATGATGGTGAGGCTGTGGTGAAAGGGGAGAGGGAGGGGGAAGGTCCTGAAGGAGAAGGTCGTAGGGAAGGTACAATATTTTGATATAGCTCGGTAGATATCATGGTGGTGGTGGTGGGGGATAGATATCATGGTGGTGGGGGTATACCGGTCTTGAGAGATGATAACGATGATGAGAAGCGTAAAGACTGGGGGTCATATACCACGATATAGCAGAACTAAAGAATTATACCTTTTATAGATGGCACATGTGAGGCAAAAAAATCATTAACGTGATATATTAATTTCAAAATCAGTTGGAGCCATGATGAGGTTTCGAACCTATACTTAAGGTTTTCTTCCTTATTGATGGTATTTAGAAATCACCCAAAATCTTGATGAGATTTAAAGCAGTTTTGAAAAACACTGAAGACTTGAGAAGAGTATATTTGGAAAGGTATTTAAATACCGAGGCAGCTGGGAGAGTGCAATGAACTAAAGGAATGATGATGGAAGAGGGGGAGGCAGAGCGGAAAAGAAGAGTAGAGCAACATGGAACAGAAACTATTGTCCAGCAGCATCAACACTATATAACTTTAATATCGCAATATGAAGTCAAGAGACTGAGGGCACGCAAGTGCAATCATTATGACAGTTACAATCAGCTGTCACCAGTGTTGACAGAACAATAAACATTGCTCTATCTCCATATCCCCCCCTCCCCCAACCATCCTCTCAGCTTCCAAGCAACTCTCTGGCATATTAACCTTCATTCATTTCACTTCATTCCTCCCACTGATCAGTTCCTGTTCCTCAACAAATCAACATCATTCACCACTGTTGACAAGATCATCTTCTCCCTTCGCTCTAGCATTACCGGAATAGGGGACAGACTGACAATGAAGAACATTAAAATCTGGTGCATGAATGCCAGTGAAATATATGACAAAATCTAGATTTAATAGCAATATTAGAAATAAAATAACTGCAATAAACACTAATGCAAAATTCCCAGAACAGATCAGGTAACAGGAAAATACGAATGAACAAAAGATATGAGGGAAAATGATCCCGTTGGTTAATGGAAACTAGACTTTTTCAAGAAATCAGAAATGAGGAGGAAATTAATTATGCAGAATATGTTGCAAGAATCATTTTAGCTGGAAGAAGAAAAGTGTTGGAGGCAGTAACATATGACCCCCAAGAGAACCACAGAAAACCCAGACCTGAATACTCTCCATGCTTATATGAACATCCTCCAAGAAGAGGCATGATCATTCCATAGAGTTGGAGCGAAACTGCATATAATGGGAGACTTCAAACGTGGTCATACTGGCTTGAAAACAATGCATTTCAGAGGAGTAGCAGTGCTCAGAGCAAAGTTAGTAGTGGTAACAGTGGGATGCGCTAACGCGGGATATCAGGGAGGAAACACCGGGATGGCTAGAAGACTAACCTAGAACTTTACACGAAATTAGATGGAGTTAGTAAGAACACTGGACATGAAAGGGTAATGGTGGGTAGGAGGGAACCAGATACACTGTGTGCTAGTAGTAATGGTGTGGCTAATGAACACTGTGCACTAGTATTTGAGTATTTGAGCATGAAGTTTTAATGAAGGGTGTCGATTGAAGACGAAATTGTGAGAGCTGAAAGCAAGCTTTCTTAAACACAGAGTGCCAGACGGTCAGATGGGACGTGTGTGTGTAGGGGGCCTGACGACTGAATGGACAACGCTCAGGATTCGTAATCCCAAGGTTTCCGGTTCGATCCCTGGCGGAGGCGGAAACAATTGGGCAGAGTTTCTTTCTCCACGATGCTCCTGTTCACCTAGCAGTAAATAGATACCTGGAAGTTAGACACCTGGTACGGGCTGCTTCCTGGGGATGTGTAACAAAAAGGAGGCTTGGTCGAGGACCGGGCCGCGGGGACGCTAAGCCCCCGAAATCATCTCAAGATAACCAGAAGATAACCACACACACACACACACACACACACACACATCGGAACCTCTACAGAATTCGCTCAAATTTTGGGGTGCTGTATCTGGAGGAGGAGAAAGAGTTAAGCAAGACGAAAACCCACACAAATATAATTCACATGCAAATTCCGCAGATAAATGTGTCCTAATACCCTCGCAACAAACTGGTAGAAAACTTTGGCACTAACTCCAACATTATCTGGGTATTTATGCCCATAACCTAATATACTCGCATCGCACGAGCTTACATCATACACAAAATACAATGGCTTTTGGGGCTCACCGTTATCGAATTTTGATTTTGTTTTATTCTCAATT